AGCACTAAATGCAACTTTTCTGGATGTTCCTTTTTGGTGTCTTTATGTGAAAGAAATATATATTCATTTTCATATGAAACAAACATTAATGCGATTGATCCTCATCTGATCTGATTGTCTGTGCAAAATTAGGAGCCAATAAGTTTTTTCATCTAGTGTCTTGTCAATCAAAGGCTTAAGTTTCTAGTGCCTTGCTCTCCAAGCCTACTAGCTAATAAGCTAGGCATCCACTTCAGCAGTCAATATATACAGTGTCTTGTCAAAGGCTTAAGTTTTCTAGCTAGGCCAACCCAAATCAGTCAGCTGCTTCACCAAATACACTCGCACGTACGTTGACCTGTGCGAGAGATTTACAATTGGAAGATATTCCAAAATTGGGGCAAAGTTGACATGGAGAATTCCATTATGAGTAATAAATGATCTCTTTTCAAGGTTATTACGTGAGCTTTCTGCGGGTAGAGATGAAAAATAGAAAATAAAATACTAGCTAGCTGCTGTGATCGGGAAATAGAGGGATGGTGGGGATTAATTAGAAGCATAAGGGTGTCCACGATGTGGACATTTGGATAGTCAGATAAAAAAGAGAGAGAGAAAGAGAGAGAGAGAGAGTTAATTTTCTGTTGCTCATCTGTTTTCCAATATGTATATCGGCAATATTGGACCACCCCCCACTTGCATGCACCATGGCTTAAACAATTCTGTAAAACATAAGATATCCATGCCTTAAGAAACAGAAATATTCATGCCTGTAGAGACCCGTGTTTCCTCATTAATCTCTCTCTCTCTCTCTCTCCCCAATATAAAGCTATAACTAGCTCTTATATATTTATATATATATTTATATTATATGTTCGTCGACAAGCAATGTAGCCTTCTTTTTATCGGTTGTTGCATTATCTACCCTTGAAACCATCCACGTCGCTTTAGTTAAGAGCAACTCCTCCAGCCCAACTTGCAGTGTTCTCACAGCATGCATGATTATCTCTGCATTTTCTTTTTATCTGTTTTGGCGTTCTCTATCCGACCTTTTCTTCTACCTTCCGTAGCACCTCTCTTGTCCAATTCGATCTTGTCCTCCCATCTACTACTTCAATTTAAAACTAGCCTTCCTCTCTCTCTCTCTCTTTTGCATCTCTCTCTCTCTCTGTCTATACATGGCGAGAAAGCAAGGAGAAGTGAGCACTCCTACTCTCTATCTCTTAGGCGCCGGGTTGATTAATTTCCTCATCCACCTGCATATATATACAAAGATAATTAACATAGGTTTGTTTTCCTTAATTAGGTGATGTGGCCAAGATTAGTGGCAAACAAGATTCTACGAAAGCCATTGGGAAGCAACAACTTTGTGACAGATTTTCCAGGAAACGACGGTCCGGATGGATTAGTGCTGGAAGCACCAAGTTTTGATCAACCGTCTTCCAACTCTACGTCCCCCATCTTCAATCATCACAAGGACACTAACACACACAAGTACAAGTATGTAATTACCAATTCGATATTTCTTTCCCCAGGTCCACCATGAATACTTAAATTTGTACGTTTCTTGTTAATTAATGTATTCTTATCTCATTCGTATAATTTGGTTTTCTCTTCATGAAGGGTTTTTGTTAGTACATGGAATGTTGGCGGGGAGGAACCACAACAAGATTTGAACATCAAGGATTGGATTGACACATCCTGTGACATCTATGTTTTCGGGTACGTACGAAATTTCCAAAGTTGGATATATATATAGAGACACACAATTAGTTGTTATGTTAAGAAGACCTTTCAATGTGTTCAGGTTTCAAGAAATTGTTCCTTTGAAAGCCTCCAACGTTCTGGGATCTGAGAATAGTAGCATCTGCATGAAATGGAATTCCTTGATCAGAGAAGCTTTGAACAAGAAAACACACTACTACTCTCAAGACAATTTGAAGCACGACAAACATGATCATGATGGAAACCCAAATATTATCGAAAGCAGCAATAATCCACGGGAATTCGAATTCCACTGTATCATAAGTAAGCAAATGGTGGGGATATTAATATCAGTTTGGGTTCGAAGTAATATTCGTCCCTTTATTCGGCATCCAAATGTCTCTTGCGTTGGCTGTGGCATCATGGGATGCCTTGGAAATAAGGTACGTAAATTTATATATACACGTATTTCATTCATGGTGATATTCAAGTTCAAGTTCTGGCATATAACTACTTTACTTGAGAAATCAATAAAGTATATTATGATCCGATATATTGATTCAATATTACAGTACTTAAATCTTAGTTTATCTTAATTACTAATAATTTTCCTCTGGTGTGCTTGCAGGGTTCTGTCTCAGTCAGATTTCGGTTGCATGAAACAAGTTTCTGCTTTGTGTGCACTCATCTAGCTTCAGGAAGCAGAGAAGGAGATGAGAAACTGAGAAATTCTAACGTCGCCGATATATTGTCCCGAACAAGTTTTCCTAGAGGCCCTTTGCTTGATTTGCCACGAAAGATCCTAGATCACGAGTATGTTTGCTAAACTTTTGAAACGGTCCAAACAAATTCGTTATGTGTGGTTAGTTTATTTATACATATATGTAATATTAGTCTCCTGAATCAACGTAGGTACATGAAAATAAGACAAGAATGTACAAGTAAGCTGAAGCACCATTATTGTTTCTTTTCAACTTTGAATTTGTCGTGACAAATTAAGAGCAGCCAAACCCTAAGTCTTAATTAAACAGTAAACTATCTATATTGTCATTAACATTATGATTTTTTATTTTAAAGTAGTTGACTTAATATGTAATTAGAAAGTTAATATTATACAAACCCTAGCTAGCAAGCTAAACTAGTTACTTATATATATATTCTCAACTAGGCGACTAATTATGCGTGGTTCAATATTAATATTGCAGTCGAGTAATTTTCCTGGGAGATTTGAATTATAGAATTTCCCTTCCAGAAGCAATGACGCGATCATTAGTGGAGAGAAGAGAATGGAATGCCTTACTAAAACACGATCAGGTAGTCAAACAATTACTTAATTATACTATATTCTTAATTACAATATTAATGCTAATTTACTTAATTGATCTCACACCCAAGATTTGACATGAATAATTAATTTTGATTGGGATTATTAATGAAGCTGATGATGGAGCTGAAAGAGGGTCAAGTACTTGAAGGTTGGCATGAAGGGGCGATTCAATTTGCTCCCACTTACAAATATTGTCCAAATTCTAATGTATACTACGGATGTCGTCCTGGAAACAAAGGTGAAAAGAGGCGCGCTCCTGCATGGTAATTTTCAGTGCTCAATTAATTATTAGATATAATTAATCTGCAAGTCACTAATTAAATTCATGATTATTAATTAATGAACATATATATTAATTCATTCTTGGTGTCTTTTAGGTGTGATCGGATAATTTGGTGCGGAAAAGGATTGAAGCAACATGAATATGGTAGAGGTACATCAAAATTGTCAGACCACAGGCCTGTGAAGGCAATATTTACAGCTGAAGTTGGGGTTTTGCGAACATTGAGAGGATACCACAGCTTTTTTCTATCACAAAGGTTAGACAAAATTTCAAGCCAGTTTCAAGTATCCTCCGCCGATGATTTTCTATGTAAAGGTAGCACCAGATCATCAAGCTTCAAAATTTGAGTTATTATATACATAAACAAGCACTTAATTATTTTGGTTGTATAACTCGGCGGATGAATGTACAGTGAAAGTTGGTTTTGTGAAAAGCTGTCTGAGGCATCCTTTCGCTTTCGCTCGAATTTTATATAAATGAATGAAGGTTTTGTTTTGGTTCAACAAGCAGTATAACTAATCTAATAATACAGATGCTGATACAAATGTAATTGCAGATATCAATATACGATGCTCGTGCTCCCCACCAGGGACCAGGGTGTTGTAAGCTAACCCCCATGCACCCATGTATCGCATGCCCTATATTTTTAATCCAACTTTCCCAATGTTTAGTGCAACCCAGGAATCAAAGTGCATCAAAATTATTTTTAGGTCTCATTTTTTTTTTAATTATAAAAATAAAAAAAAATAAAAAAAGAAAAGAAAAGAAAGTGATCGAACCATATGAATATGATGATGGTATATGATTGGGCAGTTTGGATATATGAACAAAGTGGTGAGGCCATGGTTTCTAGTGGGACAGTGGGAAAATCATTCTCTCAGCCATTTTCTAAGTGGAAGATCCATCATCCATCTGATCTTCGTTTCAATATAGCAGATATACCAAAGATATGATTTAATAACCACAACTTGTTCCGAAATAAATTATGTGGTTCTTTGTTTGTGGTCTACCAACTCCACACATGCGCATGCGATTTATTTTGGAACACAAATAATGCACTTAAATAAGAGAACTAGAAAAACACAGATACGTATCGCCATAATAATTCATTTCTAAATTAACTGAAGCATTGCAACTAGCTAATCTATCCAATTGTATAGAATTCAACTTTCATGATTCCCAAAATAACCCTCACCCATTCTCCGTTGATATTCACTTAACAATGTTAGTTTACGTCAAACGTGAGTTAGGTCAGTTTTCCAAAGTAGTGAGCTTGTCCTCTTACACCCAAGTTCGAGTTCCCCCTTTCCGTACCTCCAATCCAAGGTAGTGAGCTTACACTTAAATTTTAGATTATTGCTTATATAAAATTTTTTAATGAAAAAAATCTTAGTTACGATCACTTTGGGCCACAATTTTTGTTGCGGTTTGCACCTTTTTGAAACTCCTTGCGCGTGCTATGTGAGTTTGTCTTTTGCTTATTTGGGCTTCGGCCCGCCGTTCAACCCAAAGAAAAAGGCTCAAACCAAAATAAAAAAAATAAAAAAAATACTAAATTTTGGCTTTTACGACGTCGTCTCTTCTGTTAGTGTATTCAAGGGAAAAAAAAAAGACAAGATAAAAGCAATCTTTGACCGTTCAATATGATGGGAACGGTCATGATTAAGAGGTTCCAGTTAGGATCCAGAATAAAAATGTCCCAATTTCAAAAAATGGCGCTTTGATTGATTCAGCAAAGCCAAAGCCAAAGCCAAATTCCAAATTCCAAATTCCAGAGGCGTAGAGATGCAGAGAGGGTGCGCTTCGTCGGCTCTGCCTCTGCGAGCCCGCCTCGTAGACTTGCTCATCCAATCTGCTCACGTACGTCAGTCTTTTATCTGAATTTATCTGAATTTGCTTTATTTTTATACATGAATTGATTTTATCCTCTTAATTCCTCAAATTATCATCGGAAATGTAAAATTTAGAAACTCCAAGTTGCTCCGACCGTGAAATATACCGCATTGTCAATTTTTGCTCATAGATTCTACCCTCGTTGTTTTTCCAGGTAACTTCATCTTAATTTGTTTCATTTTTTGTTTTTTTAGTAAAATTAATCATTTTTTGGTTTATTATTATTACTTTTTCACTTCGCTTGACTTGCTTGTATATATAAAGATTGGAGGAACAAGGCAATGACGTGGAAAACTGGCTTTTACAACCCCTGAGAGAGAGCAATTTGCAGTTGTTTGCGCTTGTTTCTCTATGGATTTCAACCAAAGTAGGTTCTGAATCATACTAGTGTCTCCTGCAATTTTTTTTTTCTTTTTTATAAACTTGACATTCTAATCTCTGTGTCCATATTGCCATGTTTTATATTATTTATAGATACACACTTCTCCTTGTTTGTCTGTGAAAATATTCAAGTCTTTGGGGGACAACATTATCAAGGAACAACACTACACCATTCGAGATTACTTGGAAGCAGTAAGCCAATTCTTATAATTATGAGGTTGATGTAATTTGTAAATGGCTCTTTGCCAATTCTTATATTAAGATTCCAATAACTGCTTTACATTTCCGTTTTTCATGTCACACTGTGATTGATCAAGTTGTTTTGTAGGAGGTGGTCTTAATGCAGGTACACTCATAAGCTCTGGAATTTCTTTTCTTTTCGTTCATTTTAATTATTTACTATTGCACTAAGAGCTACCTATTCTTAATCCAAGGTAGTGAATTTTGAGATTGGTATGAACAATAGTGTTTTTGTATACTTTGAGGAGCTTTTACTTCAATTCAAGTAAGTTTTCATTACTGTTAGTTCCATCCATTCATGATCTGCTTGTTTTCAGGTTTACTAGCTTCATTCCAAACTCCAATACATCTTTCCTGGATTTTTGAGTTCAGGGGAGTGGCAAAGGTTGGGGAACTTGTGAACTTTGAAGCAGGCATGGACATCATGGATCTGATTTATGAAAAGGAGACATCCATGCTCTATACTAATCCTCATTCTCTTGCTGCATCAATCTTGGCATGTTAAATAAGATTGAACCTTAATACTAGTAAATATAGCCAATTCTGATTTTTGTTATCTTATTTTGATTTTATATTGTTTTGCAGGTTGCTTCATATGTCATCACCGTTCCTAAACAGACGTGGGAATTTCCTGTTGTTCCCTGGGGTAAGTTTTCTTGTGTTCTTGATGTGCTTTTTAGTGTTTTTTTTTCTTCAAATCCATTGGTTCAAATCTACACATAATTGCTAGAACTGCTTGACATATTCATTGTTTATCTTCTGCCCACAAACTATCTAGCAGATACTAACAAGTTTGTAAAATATGATTGAAAATTCTAAAGTTACCATGATGCGTGCATACAGTATAATAGTATTAACTAGTGGCATGTTAAGGACTGCTGATTTGGGAATCTATGGTATATTTGTAGACAAGGCTATACAGTTCTTCCAGTTCCACCAGAACACTCAGTTTGCTGCTTTTGTGTATTTCAGACTTGTAACAAATGCCCTGTCGTGAGATATATCCTTGGTAATAGCTAATTCATGTGAAATATACAACCCATCGTTATCTCAGTTAGAAACTGATACGTTGCACTCTTCTTTTCTTCCTTTTTCTATACCTAAGTTTTCGGTCTCCCTTCTCCTACTTAAGTCGTGGCAATTGGGCATGAGATTTTATTGGCCATACATCTCAAGTAGGTTGTAAGTTTAGAGTGCTTGCTCTTGCTGGTGTTGAGCCCCCAAGTAGTCACTTTATCCCCTAGTTCTTACGAGAGAAGAAATGGATGTAAAGATTGAGATTGACACCCTCTTTGGTCTTTTGCCTTTGTACACTGACTATTTGTCCCTCAGCAGTCCAGCCATCTCCCATTCCACAGCCTTGTTTGATCTTTTGACCACCGGCCATATCTATCATCAATTTAGTGGGCCTTTGCTCATATGGTTAAGTGTAGACAAGGTATTAGGTAGGTGGAATGCTATAATGAGGGGGTTGTGGGAGGGGTTCAATCCCACTAATCCAATAAGAGAGAAAATATTGGACTTAAACCTTTTTAATGATTGGATGGTTGGATTGAACCCCTCACCAAAATCCCCCTCATTGTAGCATAGCATCCCCCGTTAGGTAGGTAGGCAGCGGGCTGTGTTTACTTCTTGACATTTGACAAGTGCTAGGACTGTTCTAGCATTGCACAGATGTTGTTAAACCTTCCATCAAGTTGTCACCTCCCTTTTATTGGTGCTTTGATCAACGATGGGTGGAACATTTTGCAAGCTCTCTACGGTCTGATTTCAAAGTGGCAAACAAATGTTAAACAGGGGATTGGGATTTGTCATTTTAGGTTTCTGTCTGGATTGCTTGGTTGGTTGACAGCTTGACACAGAGTAGTGTACTAATTGAAATAATTTTTCTTATGCAGTCAAGTTCGTAACAGGTTGCGAAGAAGAGGATATTCTAGAGATAGTCAGAGACATTCTTAAGCATGTATTGGATGTTTCTTGCTAGATATAAGTTTCTCTCTCAATCTCAAGGCTGAGAACAGGGCAACGTGTCTGGTTTTGTACATCAAATAGGATTTCACTTGCTTGTCTTGGAGATATTGCATTGAAATTTTGGTTGATGAACAAAACGACACACAAGAAAAGAAAGTGCTTGTGTTGGAATCCAATACGAATATAGGTCGATAAAGGGATAGGAAAAGTTGAAATGATGTAAAGAAAGAGGGGCCTTTTCTTTTCTTCTTCATATTAGCACACAAGAAAGTACTTTTAGACGCACACGGCCATTTGATTGATTTCAGTCGATGCCCCTACTTTCTCTTTGTTGGGGTGGGGTGGGGTCCCATTTGAAAACAAGAGAGATGCTAAAATAGTGCTTCAAGTTGTCCCCTTGTGGATTTGCTCGTCCATATTGAATTGAACTATCGGTATGCTGTTTTCTATTGTAATATTGAGTTTGGTGGAGTCTTTGATTAAATACTTGAATATAAATAATTTGTTGGAATATTTATGTATAATTTGGTTTTGTGAAAATTAGCAAACCGTAAAGAATACCGTTAGGTCAAGTGGGCTTGGACTTAAATACGAATAATTCATGTGATTATAGCTAATTGGACTTAATACGAACCAATCATATTATATTACATTAAAACACTTCATAATTTCAGTATAATATATTAAGGTTACAGTCAACATATGATTTTTTGTTGTTTATCATTTTGTATTCTGAGTCTTGCAAATTTAGACCATTTTATTGATGCAATAGCAGTATAATAATGTCCTTCATCTCTGCCCTCTTCTCTTTTCGTTTATTTTTAGGTTATGAACTTATGATGCATGCAGATGCAGTTATATATAACAGCTTCCCCGCAGCCAAATTCGAATAATGACAATAATTTCCACTTCGAGGTTGACATTATGAAACATTGGATGTCATATATACCTATTCATGATCGAAATTACCACAATTAACAATCATGCTTGTACGAATCTCAACCTTAAATGATGGTTCACTTTAATGTCTTTGTTTCAGGAAGGAACAAGTAATTATGAATTTCTGCTATTGCATGTGCTAGGTGAATGGCTACCAAAAACCAATACAGAGACTATTAAATATGCTACATTATTCCCTATGAAATAAACAAACGAAGTTATTTCATAAAGAAAATAAAAATTAAAAAAAGGAGTTTATTGGTTTTCAACCTTGATTTCATGCCATGTAAACCATTGCTTCAACATGAATTGATAAAAAAAAAAATAGCTACAAAACAAAACACAACTACGAGCAGTGAGAGCACACATTTTGTTTTATAAGAAATGCTAACAACCTTTTTTCTAACTCCACGGTTAGAGAAATTGATTGTATTGTATGTGCTTGAGTTATATCATAATGATGGATGGATGATAATTGAGTCATGTTAATCCTTAATTAAACAAGTATGGGGCATCGCCCTCAAGGCTGTTTAAGGCCACATTCCCATTAATTGTGTCGGCTAATAAATCCAAGCAACTAACCCCACAGTCACATTCATTTAGGGCATAATCGTACTAGTATTCCCCACCCAACAACCATATAATCTATCAATTCTCTTTCTTTTTTCTCCTTTATTTCCTTCAAGGGTAGGCACTAGCTCTGATTTTTATCAACTTTTTTTGTGGACAAGGAAGGCGCTAGCAATTGGCTTTTGTAATGACTTTCATCTTTTTCTCCTTTTTCAATCTCCCTTTCCTTTATATTTTACCTAATAATAATATATATGTCTCCATGTGGCTCGTGGTTAGTAACTTTGTACATAGCAGGAAAGTTGCAGAGAAAATGCCCAAGACTTGTTTGGTAGCCTAATTACCGTCATCATCATTCGGCAGTGTACTAGTGTACCTCTTTACCAACTTCAGCACTACAGTCTGTCTGTTGAAGAATATGAATCTCACGTAGAAAATATAATTAAATAAAATATAAAATATATTGAATGGTTCTATTATTAATATCACTGAGTCTTTTTATAAAACCCCACATATATTAAGTTTGATAGGTAATTAAATTGAAAACAATATTAGTGTTGTTAGCAGTGAGCCGCTGGTCCATCTCTATACATGTATTACAAGTATGTAGTTTTTATTCTTGTTGCCTAATTAACGAAAGTGGTAGAACTAATATTTTTTTAAAAGATGGGATGTATGAAAATAACAAGATTCCACACAGAGATCGATTTTCATGTTATTTTTTAGGCACTTTTTCCTCACTTATCCATCTATCTGACGTGAAAAGCTTTTATTTGGGCAGCAGCAGAGTCGCTTGGATTATATTATTCCTACTTATCGTACCTTTACGAAATGACAAACCTTTTTTTTCTTTGGTAGGTGGGGTGCGCTTTCGTTCTTATAATTTATTTTATTCAAGGACTCCTCCAGCGTTGAAATCAACAACTAGACTAGACAATTGTTATGGATAGATAGAACAGGGCTGGCTGTAGGAGCACTGCAAAAGGAAATGCGTAGGTCACTCAACACAAGAACTAGATATATTATCCCAAAATGGGATAGTTTTTGAGATAATTCTTACTTTAATGATTTTTCTATGCATTCAAAAATGATGCAATTATGCAGGGTAGCTCGCGCTCGCTTCATATATAAACACGTTAAATATTATATCATCTTGGCAGACCAAATGATGGAAATAATTATTTTTTTCTTTTTGTCATTTCAAAACAAAGACAAAAGCGTAAGCAGGGGTTGGGTGATTGAGTGGTATAAAGAAAGAATAGAAATTAATCAGTGTTAGTGTTGGAAAAGTAATTGATCAAGTTGCTAGCTGTGATGGAGAAATGAAAAACAAGTAGGAGCTGAGGGACCAGTAAGTAAGGTAACATGAGAAATTTGGTGGTGAAAGAGATAAACAAGATGGCATGGCAAATTGGCAATGGCATTTTCTTTCTATCATTGTTATGATCAATCACTCCAATCCATTTTGAAAAACAGTGTTGGGTTGGGTCCATTGTCATACAATTTTTAATTTTCATGTCCAGCTATAGTTTCTTTGTCACTGTTCTGTTGCCTTGTTTGACGGTCGCTGGTGGTAGGTACCCAGTACCAACTACTATACTCTTTCTTTATCTCTCAGCATCCATCACAGGATAGCACAACACTTTGAGTTTGAGCTATTAATTAAAATCGATTCATTTAAATTATAAATTATTGGAACCTAATCCACCAAACTGACTAATAATTCTTAGCCATATGTGATAATTTTGTTTAATGACATATATAACTGGTAATTATGCAGGTAGATCAGACGTCAATCATTTTTGGTTTGTTAGATTAGATATGCAGATCTGGTGATAATATATTAGATCCCTACTCTACTACGCAGGTACTTTCTGGGTTTCATACATTAGAACTTTCCTATGCATGCAGTTCCTGTTGTTTTTATTACTAATAAAATATGGCTCTTGCTCTTGGGGAAAAACGTATTCTTTATCTTCTGAACAAAGTTATTTTGTAGACCCAAATCTAATCTAAGAACCCTGAACCAAAACACAGCAAAGCAGCCACAACACAAGCATAATACACATGCAAAGCCCCAACCAATCTTACGTTTTCCGCACTCGTGCGTGCGCATGGACTTTAATTATTTATATATGTTATGTCATTTAATTATGTACAGAGAAACGCTGAATTTTTATTTATATTTTTGGAGTTTGGAGCTAGTCCATGTCAAAGGTTGCATTCATAATTTATGAACTTAGTTCAAGTGTGTCCATCTCAATGATAATGTAATAACTCATACCAATCAATCAGCCGAGTACATAAAGGCTGTCGTTGGAAGTATTTCTGTGTTTCTGTGTTTCTGAGTTTCTGACAGACATACCAACCATATCGATGTATTGTTTTTCCTATAAGCAAAAGCAACCAAACCATTTGATTTGGTGCAATGCAAGGCACATAGGTTAATTATAAATTACCTTCAGGTGCATATTGTATGTACAACAAGCTAGTACGATGTAAATATTTGCAAATTCGGGGGTGAATGTCTTACTCGACGACAGTGACCCACTGGTCTGGAGTATGTAAAGCTTACCACATTATAAACATTTTTAAGATAAGGTGTGCTAGTTCAAATATCTTGCTTGCTTACCTTCTTCTTTGCCTGTAATTCAAGCAATATTCTGAAACCATTTCTGGAAGTCCGGAAACCATCAATTTATAAGCTAAATATATATCAAAGGAAGCAGTTTCCAACAGCAATTTTGCATCTTTTTTGTTGCTTCTGCTTTATTTTATTTGAAAGAAAAGAAATTACCATGGTGCTGACCAGCTGCAGAACACAATATACAAGTACATATCATTTTCATGTGTATAAGGAAAGTTCAAAAGTTATATAGGTCTGTATTTCATAAATAAATACAGAGGAGGGAATTAAAATGTCAAATATCAGCATCTTTTAGATTCTTTTTATTTTATTTTTATGGATTAAAACTTAACATCACACACAGCTGTTATGATCTGAGTTGAGTCACTGTGGAGTTTGCACTCATCCCGCCACCACGCGCCTGTGCCCCATGAATTTCCAATTCCTATTTCTGTCTGGAAACTAAACTCCACGCGCAAAAACAGATGCAGTGCTTTCTCCCTCCTACTGTCTCACACGAGTCAATTCCAGAGAGAAAGAGAGAGAGACAGAGAGAAGAATTAAAGTACATATTTAAAAAAAAAAAGAGAGAAACACAAGAAATAATTTAGGCTAATGTGGCGCGCGCAGGATCAGATCCACCTGCAATACACTTGCGCATTCTAGCCTAACCTCAAGCCCATAGATGGTCATCTTCTTTATTATTTAATAATTGCTTTTGGTTTTCTTTTTTGCTTATTACTAAATAGTAAGTCCATTGCCAATAATTTTCTCTTTCTTTCACTAAAGTCTGAATCTTTACCCTAATCATTTCTCCCTCTTTCTGTTGTTTATTTTTTCTTTTCTTTTTTGTTCCGTTCCGTTCAAAGCCCATCTCCGAGATCCTTTGCTTCTTCTCATTATTTCACATTTTCTTGAAAATTTTGATAAAGAAAAAAAAAAGAGCTAAAGGAACTAGCTTGGTAGTAAAGACTGAAGGGAAGGCTTCAGATCTAGGAGAGCTAAGGTTGTTTGAGGCAATGGAGACATGCCCAAGTCTGTCTTGGTCTCTTGGTCTCTCTTTGACTTGAGAAACACTTATTAATACACTCTCTCTTTTACTCTCTTCCTTCTTGCTTTTCTTTTCTGTAAGCCTTTTCATTTGACCTCTGCATCTTCCAACCTCTGCTTCATTTTTGTTGGGTTCTCTTGGTTTATTGGGTACTTCAAAGCCCACCAAGAAACTTGCTTCTACTTCAATTTCTAGAGAGAGAAACAGAAACTAAGTGAGAGAGATCTGTGGAAAATGCTGGCTCTTGGAAGTCCTACCATCAGAGTCCGTACAAGCACCAACTGCAATGTTTTACTCAAAGAGCTTCAGGTCTTTCTCTATTTTGGTTTCTTGTTCCTTCTAAAGAGTAAAAGCTTGAACTTTTTTTTTTTCTCTAGGAAGATAACGTGTGGGTTCTTCTTCTTCTTCTCTTCTTCTTCTGCTGTTGTATGGAAATTTGCTTTTTTCATCAT